AAAGGATCCATGGAGATTTTTGTACTTGCCCTTTTAACAGCATTCTAAAAAAATCTCTTCTCTAGATGATACCCCAGGGGCACTTGAGAGATTTTCTGGCCCTCTGCACAGTGCTGTGAAATTGTTCACCTCTTAAATCACATACTTTGTAGATGAAAGACAGTAGATAGCTTGGTGTAGTAGGATGACTAGACTTTTAATTTTGCAGGAACCAAGAATAAGTTGTACAGAAACTGGAAAAAGATTCTATGCTGATGAGGTTTAAATTCTCCATGTGCCTGACCAGCAGGGGCCCTGGAGTTTCCTCTGAGTTGCAGGACCAGATCAGGGCTGTGTCCAAGAAATGTTTGAGAAGCAGAGAAGAGTTACCTGGCCCATGTGAGGCCTGGAATGCAAGGGCTTAAAAAGTATCATTATATAGTTGTATAGTACTTTTTCGTTTAAAGTCACTTTTTATCTCATTTTTTTTTAAAGTGATGAGCCACTTTATCTGAACCTACTCTTCATAATATCCCCCACTCCAAGGGAAATGCAGTTGAAACCACATTGATCGCTCTTACCATATTGTTATTAATGATGGATTGTTGGGCACGTGAGAGTTTATGGAGCTTTTTGTGTATGAATTCATCATGGAACTTTATTTCCCTCAGAAAAATTCATAGGCAGAGTTATATAATGAAGTGACAGGAAAATCTTTAAAGGATTTTTCTATGCCCTGGTATTTTAGTCTTTTAGGCAGAAATTCTAAGGCATTGCTTTGCCTTTTTTGTGGGGAGGGGAGAGGTTAATGGAAAGGGAGCTATTTCTCATATAGCTGACAGGCAGGGAGATATCCTCCTTCTCCCCTCCTCTTCCCCTTAAGCAAAATTCAAAGTCATTACAAGCCAAGCATTTTTAAAAGATGTACTGATATTCTTAGGGCTTAGTTCAAGCCATGCCTTTAAGTTGGGTTGACAGTGGCTTTTACTGACAGTAGCTTTGTTTTTGCTTGCATAGAAAAGCCTGGCCCCTGGGTGCCACCCTTAATGTGGCAGCTACTGGAATAGCTGGTACAGGGAGGAGTGTATGCGTATGTTGGTTATGAATTTATAGAAATTACAAAGACCCAAGTCCTGACAGCAGCTTCAACACTACATGGTCAGGTTAAGAAAAGGAAAAAAAGCTCAAGATCATTTCCTTCATTTCACACAAGTTGGTCCTTTCCATGAAGAGTGGGGAAGAGAAAATAGAAGGCCTCCATGCACCACAAAGACAGGGTCCCTGTTTCCAAGATTTTGAGATGCATTTGAAAAGAAATGTGCACCACAGGTATTTTTAGAAATTATTTATGTGCCTTTAAAAAAA